GTTTTATGATGCGTTTTCCCTTAAACATGACCCCGTCTCAAAATTACTGCAGCAAGATACTGAAAACATTTAATGAGAAACATAAAACACCTGCAGATAAGGTAGGAAAATCTATGTGTTTGGAGTCCCTAAGAACCGCCTCAGTTATCATGCTTATATGGCAATTTAGATGTCTTGACACAGTTTTATTACCACCCATTTGTAGTAATTTTGCTGCTACCTCTAAAATAAGCGAGTTTCATCATCAATAGATGCGTAAAAGTGGTCTAGAGTGTTATAGTGCTGCTTCTGGGTTTAGTTCGATAAACAACAAAACTCTTTCACAGGCAAGTAAATCAAGTTGCCTAACTGAAATATGAGAGACGGGACTGAGCAGAACTCCCAGCAAACCCATTTGTTTTTCTCTTCTTTTAAGAACAGGTCAGTTTTGGAAATATCCAATTCCTGATCTGACCCTCAAGGGGTGAATTTAATTATAAAGGAATGATGGTTGTTTTACAGCCCACCTGACCAAAGTTTAGATGTTATAATGCTCTTAATATTGTTACATAACCAGGGCATTCAAGGCATCTCACAAGGCCAGAAGAGCTCCTCTCTCCCCTTCATTCCTTTCCCAGGCCTGCTTTCAATTACTGGTTTCTCAAAATCTTTGAGGAAACCATTGAGGACCATTAACGGGCCATTGGAAAGCCTGGACCAGCTGCCCAAGGACAGGAAGATGCACTGATTCTGTTTAGAAAAACCTGGGAAATAGCATGTAGATCATTACTACATTAGATGAGTTCCTTCTCACAGTATAATGTGTAGTAGGTGTTTTTTAGTGGTTAATAGAACCATATGTGTAGTCTGTTTTTAAGTCTCTGTGTTTCCTGTGGGGTTTTTTTCTTTCCAGGTAGACTGTCTTTGCAAAGTCCTACCTTGTCCTCTCTCTTTTTTAAAATAAAATAAAAATTTATTTTATTGTTGACAGTATCACAGATGTCTCCCATTTTCTCCACCCACACTCCACCCCAGGTCTTACCAATGCTATTGTCTGTGTCCGTGGGTTATGCAGATTTACATATATGTTCTTTGGTTCATCTCGTCCTGTCCCCTTTCCCCCACCCCACCTCCCCACTGAGGTCTGTCATTCTGTTCCATGTATCCATGCCTCTGGACCTATTTTGTTCCTCAGTTTATTTTGTTCTTTAAATTCCACTTATAAGTGAGATCATGTGATATTTGTCTTTCTCTAGCTGGCTTATTTCACTCAGCATAAGTTTCCAGGTCCCTCCATGCTGTCTCAAAGGGTAAGAGGTCCGTCTTTTTTACAGCTGCGTAGTATTCCATGGTATAAATGCCCCACAGCTTTTTATCCATTCATCTACTGATGGGCACTTGGGCTGTTTCCAGGTCTTGGCTATTGTGAATTGTGCTGCTATGAACATAGAGGTACATATATTCTTTCTGTTTGGTATTTTGGGATTCTTAGGATATATTCCCAGAAGTGGGCCACTAGGTGAAATGGAGTTCCATTTTTAATTATTTTGAGGAACCTCCATACTGCTTTCCACAGTGGCTGCCCCAGTCTGCATTCCCACCAGCAGTGCACTAGGGCTCCCCTTTCTCCACACCCTTGCCAGCACTTGTTGTTCGTTGATTTACTGATAGCAGCCATTCTGACAGGTGTGAGGTGATACCTCATTGTGGTTTTAATTTGCATCTCTCTGATGATTAGCAACGTTGAGCATTTTTCCATGTGTCTATTGGCCACCTGTATGTCCTCTTTGGAGAAGTGTCTATTCGGGTCCTTGGCCCATTTTTCAACTGGATTGTTTGTCTTCCTTGTGTTGAGGTGTATCTTGAGAAAGATGAACAGAGTTGGAGGAATCACAATACCAGGTATCAAGTTATACTACAGAGCCACTGTAATCAAAACATCCTGGTACTGGCACAAGAACAGGCATATAGATCAATGGAACAAAACAGAGACCCCAGAAATTGACCCACACAAATATGATCAATTAATATTTGACAAAGGAGGCAAGAGCATACAATGGAGTAAAGATATTGTCTTAAATAAGTGAGGTTGGGAAAATTAGACAGGTACATGCAAAAAAATGAAACTAGACCACCAACTTAAACCATACACAATAAACTCAAAATGTATAAAAGACTTAAATGTAAGTCACGAAACCATAAAAATCCTAGAAGAAAACATAGGCAGTAAAATCTCTGACATCTCACTTAGCAGTATTTTCACCAACACATTGCCTAGGGCAAGGGAAACAAAGGAAAAAATCAACAAATGGGACTACATCAAACTATAAAGCTTCTGCACAGCAAAAGAAACCATCAACAAAATGAAAAGGGAGCCCACTGTATGGGAAAAAATATTTGCCAACGACACATCTGATAAGGGTTTAATTTCTACCGTATCCTTTCTTAATAGTTATGATGTGCTCTTGGCCAGAATGACTTGCATAATATAGTCAGGTTACAGCTTATTTTCAGAAAAATAGTTTAGCCATCCTCATTATCATCAAACGGAATTAATTGGTCAGATGTCCACATTAATGGGCAGGGCAGCTTGTCCTTTGCTATTAAGAACATTTTTAATTTAGTTTATATTTCTTTTAGTATATTAAGGATACTCTCTCATAATTCCTTAACTGAGACAGAACAAGTTATGTTTTTCTAATATTTATATCTGTATAGTAAAATAATGCTTTTCTGTGATTTTTTAACATTACTTCCTACACTTATGTGCATCTTCCTAAGACATCACATTTGCTTAGTGTTGCCTAATTTTCCCAAGAAGCTTCACTCATTCATTCCTTCAATACATATTTATCAGCCACTTTTCTGGTTACTGAGGGCACTGGAGTAAACAAAGCGGACAAAAACCCCCACCCTCAGGAGGCTTACATTATTTCAAGATGTTGCAACTTCAGGAGATCTTTCAAAATAAAAATCCGTACCTTATAAGACCAACCTAGCTGGCCCCTTCACCCACATGTCCGTGTCACAGCCAGCACTTAGAAATAACATTTATGAACCATTTACTTTGTGTCTAATCGCTTCACACGGAGCGCACTTGATCCTCACAATAACTCTAGAAGGAAGGTACTATTAGGACCCCTAATTTACATGAGAAAGCTGGGGCTCCAGAGCTGAGCTATGGGGAATGAGAGTAGATGCCCCAGGCTCGCCACACCCCCTGCGAGGTGCTCGGCTGGCTGGGCGCGCGCTCGGGACTCCCCCTCGGGGCTGGGCCTAAACACGACCGCCTGTAGGACCCGACAGCAGTCCGGGCACCCAGGGGGGAGCTGGAAGGTGGGGGTAGGAAATGGGTGGCTGTCCGCGCGTCCAGGCCCACACCTGAGGGGCGCTCGCAGGCCCCGCGCGAGGCCGGGACGCCGACTCCCTCGGCTGTGGGGCCCAGACCGAGCCCCCGCGGGATGCAAGCCCGTGGGGCGTTGGACGGTTCCCCCGGAGTCCCGGGCCCTGGCGGAGCGCCCCCTGAACGCGACGCGAAACGCGGGCAGCCGGAGCCCGGCCAGGGGCGAAACCGGGCGCCTGCGAAACTGCGGGGTTCGGCGAGGCGGCCGGTACCTGCGCCGGGGAGGGGAACGAATCTCTGCCCTCCGCTACCCTCCGGCGGCCCGGCCCCCACACTCGTNGGCCCCCACACTCGTCCCACCCCGCGGGGCTCCCACGCGCCGCGCCCCTTCCTCCCCCCGCCCTCTTCCCACCTTTTCTCACGGCCCGCCGGGGTGCGCATGCGCCGAGGGAGTCCCAGGCGCTGCCGCGGGGCATCGACCGATTCGGTGCTCGGCTTCTCGACGGCTCCGCGCTCGATTGAGG